CACCGACACGCTAACTGCTTTCGGATCAGATATGGTAGATATTATGTTCTTTATATATGGCTCGGCGGCGTTGCAGTGGGCTGATTTTAACCATCTTTCAGACTTAAGATTTTCCTAGTAATTCTAGGAAGAGTTAGCCAATTTATGCAATTTTTCAGTTTTCTTTATCTGTAAACAAAAGTGCCAAATTGGTATATATTTTCCACAGTTTATGTACATACATAAATACAAATAAGTATATGGGAAACTTTTAATGTCCGTCACGATCATTTTGAGACAAATTCAGGACCGTTGCCGAAAGCCATGCAAAACTAATTTTGAACTAAACGAATCATTCCGTGGTTTATGTCAAGATTTTAACTGTCATTCCAGCACGTTTGACGTATCGGACTCGATTTTTACTATAAAGAAAACTATTATTTCCACTCTCAATAATTAAAATACTATCTTTAGCATATCCAATCAGCTGATGAATTTGATTCTGTAGCTGAATAGTTTTAGATCTCGACACTTAACAAACTCCTGTTTCCACTACTCGGCACCCAAAAACTAAAAAAAAGGTACCGTACGTCATGCGGACTGCGCCCCTCGTGTCGGTTGGGCGGGAATGGAGGGTCAAAAGCCGTTGGGATTAATGAATTAATTAATTCAAGACTATTTTGGGACACTTTTGGGACAGTTTCAAGACTTCTACGAAGTCATTGCAGGAGAAGTTCACGGCTTCGGGACCTGTTAAGGACTGCTTCAGGACCATTTCGGGATCGTTTCGAGACCATTTCGGGATAGAGATTATTTCTGGGAATTTCGAAACTATTTCAGGACCATTTGAAACTAGTTCGGAGCTATTTCAGGAACATTGCCGTGCACCATCAGCACCATTCCGGTATAGTTCACTACTCTTTTAGGACAATTTCAGGACTAGTTTAGAACTATTTCGAAATGTTTCCGTACTAGTTTAGGATCATTTTGGCAATAAAAAGAGGATATTCGTTAACCGTTTAAAGACTTGTTCGAGATCCTTTCGGGACAAGCTCACGTCTTTTTCAGAACCATTTCAGAAATATTTCAGAACAATTTTGTAACTAGAAAGGCTACTCGACTACTCCAGAAGTGGTTATGAAAAGGTTGTGTACCAGTTCCAACAAAATGAATAAAATGAAATGGAATTAATGGCTAATCTAAGTACCTGGTACTCATGTGTAGTATTCTTCAGCCTCGACAAAAAATGAGAGGAAAATTAGAAAAAAAAAACAATAAATTCTGTTTAAACGCTATGAAGTAATTAAAAGATTGTAAAAGTAGACAATGAAAATTCGAAAATCATTTGTTTTGTCAACTTTACAATAAAACATTTTTGATTGCTTGTAATAGTAAAAGTGGCAATGAAGTTTGTCCATGAAACTCTTTGTTGCTAAAGTCTTTGTCACTCACACTATTGTTAATAGCGCCATAACTTGGCTCGCATAATTTTCGTTGGTATAGCAAGCTTTTCTCCGTTGATCTGCAATAAAATGTCAATAAGCCAGAACAACGCAAAGCACTAAAAGCGAAAGTTAAATTATCATGAATGAGTGACCGGCGTTGTAGCGCTTGCAAATATATGTACATACATATGAGCAAACATATGTATAAACATAAAAGTATAATACATTTTTAATTTACGTTCACATGCATGCCGATTTACCATAGCGACAATTATGACCTGCACTTTTCCATTTATTCATAAATTTTTTCTTTTTTGTTTAGCAACGATTTTTTTTCCCTACCTCCACTCCACTTTCTTCTATTTATGCGACTAGTTTTGATTATGTGGTTCATCGGGGGGTGTGTGTGTGCATGTTTACGTTGTTGAAAAGTGAAAACTTTAACAAAACGTTACAACTATAACAACAATACATTTGTAGTATGTAAACAATTATTTGTAAATGCAAAAACTATACAAAAAGTTAATGTTGCCATTAAAAAAAATGGAAACGACAAATTGCAGTTGGACGGAAAGTCTGACCACAAATGACAATTAAAAGTGATATTAATTTGTTTATTCAGGCAGTGGAAAAAGTAACCAATTTTATATAGAGTAAACGATGAAAGTAGAAAAATGGTATAGTGAGAGCGAAAGTGATTGCAAATTACAAAACTTTGTAAATCAGTATAGAAATAGTGATACTTAGGAAAGCACACAAAGCGCTGTGTTATATTTTCAGTGGGTTTGTGGGTAATTGTACATTGCCTATTTGATTTGCATATACATACACCTGTGGTCAGCTGATTAAGTCAAATGAAATTTTGACTCGTTTGGGCCATTTTTCTTTTGTTTATTTAATGTTTATATTTTTTAGTAAAAGTTTAACGCTTTACCTAACCAGCGCCATATAAATCCATATTTCAAGCTTTGTACAAAAATTATGAAAATAAACTTTAACCATTGCACCCAAAAATTTAAAGTTTTTAGAAACATCTTGGGTATGCAGTTTTGTAGCCCATTAAATTTTATTAGGTTAAATAGCGTTGATTTTTGATAATTTAAGTTTTTTTTGCTGCATACTTCGAGCATACTTTATATGGAAGAAAATGCACAGCACTGTCAGCCGAAAAAAACTATTAAAAATCAACCTAACTAAAATGTAATGAGCTACAAAACTGCATACCCGACATTTTTCTAAAAATTCTGAATAAAAAGTGGATTGAATTTGCATAAGTTTTGTACGAAGTTGCTTCTGCAGGACTGGCCGGAAAAAAAAATAAAAGGAAGAATCAGTCATTGGCTGGTTGAATTTGGAGTGGTTAAAATTTAATTCTAGCAACTTATTGTTTAACACTATATGGCAGTAGAAGCTTCGATATAAATTTAAACTTATACATATAAAAAATCGTACGTATGTACATAGATAAAGAAAAGGATAAAGGTAAAAATAAAAACAAAAGATACAGGCAAAATGAAGATCAAGGTAAATTTAAACGCTTTACTTATATAAGATGTAGATGAAGAAAATGAGAAAAAAATTTAAAGTAAAAACAAAGATAAATATGTATAAAGAAAAAGATGAGGATGAGGATATCGATACAAGTAAAGATGAAAATAGAGGAAGAAAGATTAAAATAAAGGTAATTGCAGAGAAAAGGATATAGATAGAGAAACAGAGACTAAATTTGGGAATTATTTCGGGATTTTAGAGATTTTATCGGGTTTTTATCGATATTTTTATCGCTTTTGTTATCGAAGTTTTTATCAATTTTGTTATCGATATTTTTTATCGTTTTTCTTATCAATATTGTTACCTATTTTACTATCAATATTTTCGGAACTTGTCGATATAATAATCGATTTTTTATCGATTTTGTTATGGATTTTTTTATTGATATTTTTATCGATTTTTGTATCGATATTTCTATTGATTTTGTTATCGATATCTTAATCGACCGTTACCGGTATTGCTGTCGATTTTGCTATCGATATTGTTATCAATTTTGCTATCGATATTGTTATCGATTTTGTTATCGATATTTCTTTCCATATTTTTATCGATTTTGTTATCAATATTTTCATCGATTTTGTTATCGATATTGTTATCGATTTTGTTATTGATATTATTAACGATATATTGATGGATGTTACTATAAAAATAAAGATAAAAGAAAACAGGATAACATAAATATAATTAGAACGAATAGGGTATAGGTAGGGATCTAGATAGAAAAAAGACAAAAATATTACCTTAAGCAAAAGCAGATGTATGTATGTAAATATCGTTACCTTAATACAGAAAGGCCCTAACTCATATAGTCGCTGAAATGCAAAAACAACTTAACTGACTAAAATTTTGTATTTCTTAAAATGATGTGGGGACTTATAATTCGATGAAACGCATCATTTTCGATCGAAAAGGGCATTTTGGATTTTTACTTAGCTACGGATTTTTGTATTTCAGCGACGATATAAGATAGGACCTTCTATATTAAGATAACGATATGTATATTGGTTAAAAGACAAACTAGATATGTAAAGTAAGTTTCACTTCTGCGGTGTGGCCAAGGCGCACTTACTTTTTTAGCTACTTTTTGGTATATATATTTCTCTTAAAAGCTTGGAATCCAGTTCTCAAGAAAAATCGCAAGAAATATTTTTCTTTATTTCTCTTGTTTGAAAATCCTCCTTGCATTTGCTATAAATTTCCTTGAAGAAATACGAAGAAGAAGAATGTATACGAGCATTTTTTCCTTGAGAGATGCAAACTGATTGAAGAAATTTTTGTAAAAGAAAATTTCTTTTCCGTTTCTTGTGCGTCATTTTATAAGAATTTTTCGTTTTTCTTGAGAGCTGGAAACAGCACTTCGTTTCTTAAATGATTTTAGTTCCTTACATGTCCATATTTTTCGTTGAAAAAGTTTATTCAAATACAAAGAAAATTGTTAGTTATTTTTTTAAAATTCCCACTAAATCATATTTCCATTAAATGCAGTGAGATGTTTTCATGAATTCAAAATAAAATTTTATAAATAAATGAGCACAAAATTTCATACACAACCAAATGCCATAGTAAAATGAAGACATGCAAGTACTTGCCACCAGAGTGTTACACGCTAACTTAACAACCATGAATTTGCCACTTTACCAAATCGCGGTCGAACTGCTGCAACAAAGCCCAGTCGACCTACCAACGAAACGTGTTTGGTTGCAACACAAAAAATAAAATACTAAAAAAAAAAGCTGAATAACAAGAAAACCGGCAGCAGTAAATGCAGCTATGCAAATGCCACTTATAATGGCCATACTTTGCAGTTTCCTGCGTTGCATTTCTTCCACATTTTTGGCGTGCATACTTGCTAGCCATGACTATCTACTTCTTTCTCTGCACCTTCATGGGCAGCTTGACTATAGGCCAAAGTCAAGGCAAAATAAGAATGCAAATACAAAACACAAGAAGGCAAAAAAAGAAAAAAAAAGCGGCAATGATGTTAGTAAATGCCATGCAAAAATTTTACAGTCTTTGAACACTTACCATGCAGGTCAAGAGGAAGATAAGGCTGCAGCAACGTTGTTCGGTGGCGGTGGTGCTGGTTGGTGGTAGTGCTCGAAGATGCGCGCGATCAAATGCTGACGACGCAACTCCACTTGTGCCACAAAAGCGGTGCGGCTAATTGCGTGCTGTGCTTAGCTGCCACTTGTGGTGCTGGTTGTTGTTGTTGTGGTTATTGCCGCTGCTTTTATAGCTCTTTGCCTAGTGGCAAATGCAGCTGATGCTGTAGCTGCGCACGCAGTCTGCGGCGGTTTCAATGCGCCGATATAAAAACTGCGTTGCAAGCGCTTTTGTGGTGCATTTGTGTTGGCTGGCAATTTAAATATACAATTTACAACGCATGCGCGCCAGTTTGCTTAACGTTTTTGCTGCCAACTATTTTTTTTTTGTGTTTTCAATTTTGCTCCGGGCTATCTTTTGATAGTGGCTGGTAGTTCGAGCGACTGCAAGTGAGGCGCAAAATGCTGTGGCCTCCAATGCAGTTAGTTCGTTTAAAGCTCCTTGCCACCGACTGGCTGGTTGGCCGCGTTAAATGCTTGCTGGTTTTGTTGATTTTTTCTTTTGTTGTCGCTGCTGCTGGTCGCTGGCAATTATTATGCAGCGAAACTTTTGTGTGAAGCGATGCACGTAAAGCAGCTCAAAGTCATTTCTTCGATGATTGGCTGCGAGAGGCGCTTTGTTGCAAGAACTAGACCACTACACTGGTGAGATGAGAATTTTTTAGGGTAGGTGGGTGGGTGCGCATGTTATGGAGAAGACGGTACGCAACAGTTGTTGGTTGGTATGTAGATAAAAAATCGATTGAAAAATGCGAATATGTTGCTCAGTTGGTTTGGTAGAAAGATGAGTTCATTGGTGAGGTGCTTTCTGATCTTTCACTTTGTGTTTAGTCTAATATATTTTGTGGATTAGTTTCGAGTTGGTATTTCCATTGCAAGAAAAATTTTTTTAAATAGAAGTTTATTTGTTTTTTTTTTGTTTTAGCTTTTATCAAAGGAAATATTATTTTTAAATTTTTGATTATATTTTATATCCTGTGTGATATTATTAGGCATAAACCCCTTTAGCAAATAAAAATAATTTTTTTGGAAACATCTGACTAGAATCTAAATTATTTCTTTCCTTTAACCCAGTAATCATTGGCAAGGATACATCTTTTAAGATAATTTCATTTTGTTTAGCAACAATTTTTGTTGATAAATTCAACAACATTTTTCTTTCTTTTGGTACAAATTTTATTTCTTTACATTGCACTGAAATTTTAAATATTTTTTTTTTTTGAATTAATCATATCCTTGAAACTTCTGAGCCCTTTCAAAAGAATCCTGACGTCAGAAAGAAAAAATATCGACGAAGTTTCGCAAGTAAATTGATTTTTGTGGTAGTAAAATTGACTATCACACGCTCCATCCCATGTTCTATCAAGGCTCGTGTCTGCTTTCTCTTCAGTTTGAGGTGGAATTTAACAAATGTTCTGTCTAGCCTTTTTAGGAAAATTTTTCTCCCAAAAGCCTTGGCTCCGACCGAAATGGAAGCCTCAGAAGACTAGCGATTTGCCGATTTATGAGCTAGTTCGTTGTCTAGAATATCACAGCTTCCTCAATGAGCTCAAGCCTATCCTATTTTGTAACATAATTTATGCTCGACTTATACTCTTTACAAGTTCAGAGCAACTTGGCTATCGCTGATGACAAAAATATTTTCATTGGACCTGAAGCAGAAGAGCATTTGAAGATGCCAGCCAGCTCCTGCAGCGTTTTGTGTCTTGGATTCTTCAGTAGAGAAATCTGTCTGCGTATTTCTTTTCAAAGGTGACTTCGGGTACACATTTGGAACGTGAGGCCAAAAACAAAGGGTTCACTAAATTTGCTTACAACAGTTAGCCATATTGCAACCATATTTGGAACAAATTACCGGTGCCACAGCTGTGCTTTGGAAGCATTTATGTGAAAAACCATACAAGATTACGCAATTAGACTCTATTCTTGGCCAAATACAAAAATAAAATTTTCTTTGTGTGATGTGTACAGAAAAATATACTGTTTCGGATATAGGTACATGTAAAATCGTAGAAGATTGCTATATCTGGGAGAAGTTATTTCTTAAGAACAATTTTTTTATTGGCAGACAGAGTTTTATGACTAAAAAGGTGAAAGGGTCACAAACCCCCCGTTTTTTTTTTTTCAAAATACTTTTTTCTCTTCCCATTTCTTCATTTGTCTTTCTAATAAATTTTAAGTGGCAACAGTTCACACTTCCTATCATTATTTCAAGTCATTGTGCTTTTAAAATACATTCTTTGTAATTTTTCATTGAAAAATGTTTCTTTTTGTTTTTAACTAATTTACGAGCATTTTTATGTTTGTGTAAGCAATAAATTTAATTAAATTTATTTTCACAACGCACGCACACACACACTTCTGTTCTTTAAATTAAATTTCTAATTTGGAACACACGCATGCGCACAAACGAATATATTTAATTTATGGCAAGGCTTATGCTTTCACGTGCATAAATAAGTGTACGACTGCCTGTCTGCATTTACCCGCATCTCGGTAATACATAAATATTATTTTTTATCATAATTAAATGAGTTTCTTAAACTTTTCTGCTCGCTGCTGTTGCTTGCATACTTTTCACTTTTTTGTTTTATTTTTTTTTTTAAGTTCCATGCTTTGTTTGTATTTGTTATTTCCCTTTTTTGTATTCTTTATTTTTTTATTTATTTTGCATTCACGTTTAGTAAGCTGAGCTTTTCCACTACCCCGTTTACTTTATATGGTTCTGCGGAAAGTTATTGCTTGCTTATAATTATAGTATGTTTCTTACTACAAGTGTTCACTGCTGTTTTAGTTGTTGTTGTGCTTGCCTTTAATTTCATTTGCCACACTCACTTAGCCAGTTAGAAAAGTTTCTATGTTCGTTTGTCTCGCTGGCTGACTTTCTTTGTTACTTTGTTGCTAATGCTGTTCGGTTTGAAGTTTCGTATTTAATTGTTGTTGTTGTTTTCTTACTACTTAGTGGCAGTGCGTAGTGATTACTGCGATTTCCGTTAGTTCTTTTATTATTTATGTGTTATTAAAAAGTTTTATTTCAGTGATTCTGCGGTGTTCTATTCCGCATTTTCACAGCCACATTGAATGTAAGTAGCATATCGGAGTTGCCATGTTTTGCGGCTTCAAGTTTAAGTAATGTAATGTTTAATTCTATAACAATTTCAAGCTTTAAAAATATCCTGGAAGTTAAACCTTGAAATTTCATCACACAATTTCAGTTCTACTTATATTAACTTAAAGTAGCAAAATGTTGCAAAGATTAACCAGATTATGCGCCCAATAGCAAAAAGTGCAACAACATACTTTAGCGGAAGACCATTTTTTCTATATTTTTCAAAAAGCCAACTTTCTTGATCAGAAACCAAATTCTTACGAATCTTGTATTGATCTGTTTAAACTGCTTATAGCCATTTATTCTAATATTTTTCAAAGCTTTCGATGTTAATTACGAGATTTCGCATTATCTAGCCCTAACGAATTATAAAAGTTGTCCTTAATTGCATACAAACGAGAAGAAATAGAACAAGTACCGTAATACTATTGGAAAAATGCATCGTTTTAATATCTCTTACTTCCTTTATCAATATATGAGTTTTTATAAAAAAATGAACTTTTCACTGTAAGAGCCAATTTCACATAGCGTAGTTCACTCAGAATCGGCAGCTAACTACAGATTTTCAGTACAAAAATTCACTGAAATTGGCCCTAAGCTGACGAAATAATGCTTTGAACAAAAGACTTAAGATGCGAACTTTTAAATGATTTTAGGTATTACTGATCCATTTATTATTCTTAAGATGATACACCTCGATGCTATTCAACTTTTTTAGAAGTTATTATATTTTAACTAACTATACAGAATTCATGGTCAGTATACCCAGAACCTTTGCTGCATTTACATAAAAAAAAGCAAAACCGAGGAACAGTTTGACAAATACCATAGAGAGTTTTCACCATCGATTTCGACGTTATGGAACAGGTTTCAAGAACGTTCAGTCAGTCCGAAACAGGTTGACACCGGGAATTGTTCATGGAATGAAGGAACACCCGGAAAATCAAAAGAACATTCAAAGCAGTGGACTTCTGCAGGTGAACGTGCACTAAAGTGTGCCAATGTGGGCTTCTTTGTCAATATCGTTAGATGGGTTTAATGAAGAGCTCATCACTGCAAAGATACGTAATTTTGAAGACTTTCAGTAGGCCTAGTATTTTGGGAAACATTTGAGAAATGCTGGAATACATTAAGCTAAAGAAGGCTATACTGAAAAATTAAACATTTAATTTAAATATTTTCCTATTACATGGCTGTCTCTTTCTATTTCGAAATTAACACAACCTAAGTAAATTAAATAGTAAAAAAAAACATAAAAAAAAAATTTACCTAACCCAAAATTTTTGATCTTTGAATTTAAAATTTTTTTCTGGAATCTTTAGCTTTTCAGCAGCGTTTCTAGGTCGAACTAAAAAGAAAACCAGCAATGCGGTATTTAACTTGGGAGCATATTTTCCAACGAAAGGCTTAAGTCGCGAACCCAACCAAAAATTTCTTTGAAAATAAATTTAATTCGAGTATGTTTAGTTTTTCACAACCATTCTTTAATTTAGTTTATTTCAATTTATAAGTATTTTATTTTGGTTAATTTAGTTTTATTTGTTTTAAATTTAATTACATTTTCCTCAATTTAATTAAATTTATTTCAAATTAATTTGGTTTATTTTAATTTAATTTAATTTAATTTAATTGGATTTGATTAAATTTTACTTTATTTTATTTTATTTTATTTCATTTCTTTTAATTTTTTAAATGCATATTTATTTCATTTAATTCTATTTTGTTTTATTTTATTTTCATTTATTTTATTTTATTTTATTTTATTTTATTTTATTTTATTTTATTTTATTTTATTTTATTTTATTTTATTTTATTTTATTTTATTTTTTTAATTTTAATTCGTTTCATTTCATTGGATCCTTTTTTACTTAATTTAATTTAATTTTACTTTTTTTATTTTATTACCATGCAACAAAAAGAATAAATAAAACTCACTTCATAAAATATCGTTTCAATATTAATGAAGTTTGTAGTTTAAGGTTCAATGTCGTATCCTTGAACTGTTTGTAATTAAAGTCCACATTTAAATATTAAAAGCTATTAAAAGCAATTTACACGTTGTATTTTCACTTGAATTCAAAACTCATAAAGTAAAAGTATTTTTTTTTTTTTTTTTTTAAATAGAATTACACAAAAGAAAAAATGAAACCACTTTCTAACCGTACACAAAATGCCAACCAACAGTTCGGGTAAAAGTCGCACGACCAACTAAATAACTGACTGTCCAATTGCGGTAAGCAACTTTCATAAGCGCGCAGAGTCTTGCAGTGATAACGGATTTGAAAAACAGCACTGCGAAAGCAAAGCGACAGTCAAAATCGAATGTAAAACAGCAACTGAAGTTGAATCGAAGAAGTGTCCAGCTCTAAATGCCAACTAGCGGCAGCGGCAATGTCATAAACGACGCCAGCGGCCATAGCGTCAGTGTGTGGAACGTAGCGATCGCATGGTGCAGATCGGAGTTGTTGACGGAAACGCTGCGAGGCGACGGCCAGAAAGTTTAAACTGCCAACTACGCACTGAGCGCTAGCGTAAGCGTCGACGTAGACGCTAGCAGTTGCCGTTGGACAGTAA